CGATTATGATCGAATGATTATTCAACAAAACACTTCTCGACCAAAAGGCTTTATGGTATGGGGAGGTGTATCAAGTCAAGGAAAAACTACACTTCGTTTTGTTACACCTGGTACGAAAGTTAATTCAAATTATTACATTAACAATGTTTTAAAACCATTTTTAACAAAAGATGTTCCACGTTTATTTCGAAAAGGAAAAAAATTAAAATGGATTTTTCATCAAGATTCAGCACCAAGTCATACTGCAAAAGAAACAATTAAATTTTTGGAGCAGAATAAAATTCATTATATAACACCACAAGAATGGATGCCTGCTAGTCCTGATGCTGCACCAATGGATTATTCAATTTGGGGACATTTAAAACAACAACTTAATAAAACACGTATTGATTCTATTGAGGAACTTAAAAAGAAGATTTTATATGAGTGGCGAAAGATGAGTCAGACGTATATCGATAAAGTATTAGCTTCCTGGCCAAGGAGAGTCTTGAAGATTTATCAAGCTCGAGGTTCTCATATCGAACATCGATTGTAATTATCGTTTTTTTACGTTTTTATATATGGAAAATAAAACTATAAATAATCGTGATGATGACTCTTAAAAAAACTTTTTTTTACACTTGTCTGAGATTTAACGAAATTTTGGGCTAGAGCATGAGAAACTAATAAACAAATTATATGTTTTGATAGAGGAGCTCAAGCCCTATCCAACTGTGCTGAAATAAAAAATTTTTGATGTATTGTATAAATCCAGCAAACGACACAAAATTATTAAAAATAACGTAATCAACCTGTATATGATCCTCGAACGTTCAAAACTCTTCACCTGAACAATCGAAATGGAGTTTTTTTATCGTTATGTAATTGCGCAAGATAACGATTATCTAACGGAATCATAATTTTATCAGATTACCTCTAGAGTAGTATTTCGAAAGAATAGAACTGAATATGGATTCTAGAACGATTGTAAGTGAGTGAGTCAGTGTATGTATGTATCGAAAGAACAGATAACAAGTATAGTTTGACATACATGTTTTTTGTCTTTCTCTATTACATCCATAATAAATATGTCGACATATATCATTGAGGTGACCTTGTGTATTATATTCAAATAAAAAAATAGTATTCGAGAGGTCGCTTGCTAGCATGAAAAATGACTTTTTATATATGGGTAATTCCGTGGGGTTCCTACCACGAAATACAGAAGCATCTCCGAGTAGCCTTCAAATAGCATCATTCGATAGAACTTTTTACGCTGATCATTTTGGTAACCAAAAAGTCTAGCGTTGACCACACAATAAGAGAGAAATTCGCAAAATACGAAAATACGCATTTCTGACATTTTGTCCAAATTCAAATGTTATCGTTTTCATTGTTTCCGCGGATATGAATCGAAATATTTTTTCTAATCAAAATTTCAACTTCAGATTCGTGTAGAGCATCAAAAATTCTTCAAGATCTTCGACTTTCTAGGTTAGGTTTCAATTATTTTTACTGGGATCTCAAGAGCTACTCCTTGCCGCTAAATACGTAAAGATTGTGAAAATGTTTGCCTAGCATTTGATTCAAAAATGGAATTACGGCAAAAGGTCTGATATACAGTTCGATAGAGGAGCTTCTGCTCTATCGACCTATATAAATAACTTTTTACGGGAGAAGCATTTGCTATGCAAATAGGACGAAAAACAAAAAATGCTGCTTTTTTTAGTGTAGGTTTTCTAATGTTCAATTGTTTGCTCTTATATTTTGCAATTAACAATAAAAACCATCTTTAGATTCAGAATCAGCATTAAAAACTGCATCGAATGAGGTATTTTGAGTTAGGTAAAATTATTTTATATGGGACCTTGGTAAACAGACATTGATTCTATACACATGCTACTCATAAATAAAAGGACTGGAGGGACGTTTGAGATACATTCCGATCTACTTAGAAAATGAAGGTAGATTTACCTCAAACTTTCAACAAATACTCAGTTATATGCTAGGAGTCATCCCTCAAGATTTCAGCTTGATCCGTTGAACTTTTCCTTTACTTCGTCACATCAAAACCTAGATCCTAAATGTACACATCAATACCCTATAGCGGTAACCTTGTGGACCTCCGTTCTCCACTATGCGATTCAGACGCAATGTGATTTTTCTAGAGTCATTAGTAATCACTGAGGGCTACAATATTGCATGAACAATAGGTCCATAAAAACCTTGTCCTAGTATCACATTGAAGTAAACAATGCGAAAAATTCATGAAAATGTCCTATAGAGGTAACATTATGGACCTTCGTTCTCCACAATACGATTTAGAGCCAGAGTGAATTTTTCAGGATCACTACGAATCAGTGAGGGCTACAATATTGCAAGGACATGAGACCCACTAAAAACCTGCTCTGGCATCACATCGAAGTACATAATGCGAAAAATCCATGGAAATGTCCTATAGAGGTAACCTTGTGAACCTTCGTTCTCCACAATACGATTTAGAGCGAGAGTGAATTTTTCAGGATCAATACGAATCATTGAGGGCTCCAATATTGTAGGGACATAAAGCCCACAAAAAACCTATCCTGGAATCGCTTTAAAGTAAACAATGCCAAAAATCGATGAAAAATTCCTATAGAGCTAACCTTGTTCACCTTCGTTCTCCACTATGCAATTCAGACTCAGAATGATTTTGCTAGAGTCAATGAGAATTGTTAGGGACTAAAGTGCAGCACACGTATGAGACTCAGGGAAAGCTGTCGCGGTATGGCAATAGGGTACATAGTCCCGGACGTTCATTAACAAGTACCTTGCGGCGGGTGTGGATTTGTAGTTGGTGTTCCTATCAGCATACAGATGACCTGCACACAAACCCACTCGCATCCACACAGCGAAGCCACTTAGCGCCGTTCGTAGTCCTCTTTTTCCACCCCTCCATTCATCCTGAGGCTCCTCACCCAAAAGTATGTTATCTACGAAGTGAATTGATAAATTAACATCTTAAGTTGCATGCCACATAAACCAATAGGATGGTTGAAACCCCACAGAATGTACTACGATTGATAATCATTGCATGACACTAACCAGCGCAACCTCATGATAACTTAAGATATCCTCCAGTGCACACTGGACATCTACATAGTTCTTCTAGTTAGTAATTTACCGTGTCAAACATTATAAATGTTCACACAGCTACTGCACAACTATTTGGAAGCCTGACTCCGATATTGCGAGAGAAACATATCCAACGTTCCCTCGATCATTATATCCATTCCTCATTTTGAACTATATGGACATAAACGTGTAATCCAGGCAGTTTTTACTAATGCTGAAGTGCATGCGATATCGTAGTCCGGACTAACTACTAATGATCCTAACGAAGTCACTCTGGATCTGAATTGTATAATGCAGAATAAAGGTGAACAAGATTACCTCTCTGGGCTTTTTCATCGGTTTTTGGCATTATTTACTTCAAAGTGGTACCAGGGCAGGTTTTTTGTGGGTCTCATGTGCTTGCAATATTGGAGCCCTCACTAATTTCTAGTGACCCTGAAAAAATCACTCTAGATCGGAATCGTATAGTGGAGAACGAAGGTGAACAAGGTTAGCTCTATAGGGCTTTTTCATCGATTTTTGGGATTGTGTACTTCAATGTGACGCCAGGACAGGTTTTTTGTGGGTCTCATGTCATTGCAATATTGTAGCCCACACTGATTACTAGTGACTCTAGAAAAATCACTTGGGGTCTGAACCGCGTAGTGGAGAACGAAGGTCAAGAAGGTTACCTCTATAGAAATTTTTCATTGATTTTTGGCATTGTTTACTTTAAAGCGATTCCAGGATAGGTTTTTTGTGGGCTTTATGTCCCTATAATATTGGAGCCCACACTGATTACTAGTGACCCTAAAAAAATCACTCTGGATCTGAATCGTACAGTGGAGAACGAAGGTCCACAAGGTTACCTCTATAGGGCTTTTTCACGGATTTGTGGCATTGTTTACTTCAAAGTGATACTAGGGCAGGTTTTCTATGCGCCTCATGTCCTTGCAATATTGTAGTCCTCACTAATTCCTAGTGATCCTGAAAAAATCACTTTGGGTCTGCATCGCATAGTGGAGAACGAAGGTCCACAAGGTTACCTCTATAGGGCTTTTTCATGGATTTTTGGCATTGTGTACTTCAATGTGATACCAAGGCACGTTTCCTATGGGTCTCATGTCCTTGCAATATTGTAGTCCTCACTAATTCCAAGTGATCCTGAAAAAATCACTTTGGGTCTGAAGCACATAGCGGAGAACGGAGGTCCGTAAGGCTACCTCTATAGGGTATTCA